TTATACATTTAGTAGATGTTTTTGTTTTTCATCAGGCAACATTTTATCTGCAGGTGAAGCAATTGAAAGTTTTAAAAAAATATGTTCTTTTAATAGTTGCATATTGGCCGGGCGCGGTGGCTCACGTCTGTAATCCCAGCTCTCTGGGAGGCCGAGGCCGGCGGATTGTTTGAGCTCAAGAGTTCGAAACCAGCCTGAGCAAGAGCGAGACCCCGTCTCTACTAAAATTAGAAAGAAATTAATTGGACAACTAAAAATATATAGAAAAAATTAGCTGGGCATGGTGGTGCATGCCGGTAGTCCCAGCTACTCCAGAGGCTGAGGCAGGAGGATCGCTTGAGCCCAGGAGTTTGAGGTTGCTGTGAGCTAGAATGACGCCACGGCACTCTAGCCCGGGCAACACAGTGAGACTCTGTCTCAAAAAAAAAAAAAAAAATTAATAGGTGCATATTTTGTGGCTCTTAATTAGGATAATTTTATTAAAACAGAAAACAGAAAGATTTCTAAATGGAAAATAAAATGCTGGAACAAGCGATTTCCAATTCCTTAATTAAGTGTTTTTCTCTCTTAAGGAATGATTTTTAACGTCTTTGTAGGATATGCAAGGATGTGACAGGAACATTTGACAGTTTGTATTGTAAATCATGCTTTTTTGCTGTGATTTGCTCAAAGTTCATCTCACCACTTCACTGAGAACAGTAGAGGAATGTGTTAGCCTAATGGCTCAATTGTTTTTATACTGTTAGCTCTATAGTACAAATAAAAGTAGAGGTACTATAAAAAGTATATGTTTTAAAAATGGCATTATTTTAAAACTAAACACAAATAGCTGTCTAGGCACTTGAGCTTAACTCTTTAATAGTTATTTAGTGGGAAATTAGCAGATTATCTATGATTAATATTTATGAAGGTATGTCAGATTAGCTATAATACTATTTAGTAATCTGAATTCAAGAAAATTAGAATGCCTACTTTTTGATAAATAGAATAATGATTGTGAATATGGACTTAGGTTTAATCCCTGTTTCACTGTTTATTTGTGTGTTGGGGAGCAAATGACTTGACCTCTTTGAGACTCAGTTTCCTGCTTATAGAATTGGAAAGAATATCACCTTCCTCGCAGGATACATTAAATGAAATGATAAATACACAGTGTCTGGGTACATATTAATGTTATTCATGTTATATCATATAGTCTTACTATATAGTTTATGTGAATACATGATATGTTTTGTTAAAAATTACTTTATTACAGTTTCTCTCTGGGTTACTCAGTTTTAATTGCATGTTAATATATATTTTTGATGTATTTGCCTTCATCTTTCCTAAACCTTTGAGGGAGGAACACTTACTTTCTATAATTTCGGTAACAGGAATGAATACTATTGCTACTATCCATCTCACTCCTGCTTTGGGACACAGCTTCTAGCTCAAAAATCAGAAAGAGGAAAACCATAGTCAAAAGGCTCAAATAAGCCTTTTCTTATAAAGTAGTGACCTAAATGCTTATCGTTCTCATATTTGAAAGCTTTACTTGACTACTTGTCTTTAGTAAAAGAATTATATAGCTGATAATGTAGTTTTATATAACAAAGTTTGTATTGCATGGATTTTAGAATTCATATTGGGATAGAAGTAAATTCAAGTAGCAATATATGAATACTATACTACAAATACTTTATTAACAAAATCTTTTTAATAAAAAATGATAGTGCCTTAAACCACCCTTGTTCTTTGTCAATCCATAATCACCAGCCGCAACAATTTTCAACTTCTTTAGCTTTTACTCTGGTATGTATTTCCAAATAATAAGCTTCTATGGCTCTTTCTCAATTTATGACTTTTAGCTATAACTTAATTTTTTCTTGTTATGGTAAGTGAGGATTTATAAGCTTTGGTTAGACAATATTAATTGTATATATGGGTAGGTAAAACATCGTTTACTCCTCAGTCAAGTAGTGCACTATAATAATATTTTCTTTTTAGGATGACTATTTTTCTTGAAGTTAATAATTGGCTTTGCTCAGTTTTCTTTGTGTGAATCAGCAGTTCTTCCTCTATGCACCTATGCGATATCTCTTAGTATAGCTGAGTGTGGTGGCATGTACCTGTAGTCTACCTGAGAGGCTGAGGTGGGAGAGTTGCTTGAGCACAGGAGTTCAAGATCAGCTTGGGCAACATAGTGAGATCCCGTCTCTAAAAAGAAGAAACGATAAAAAATCTCTCTGTAGTATTTTCTACAAGGACACATTCGTGAGATAATCTGTCAGGTCCATTCCCCGCCCCGCCCACCTGGGAATTTCTTAGTGTCTTTCCTGTGTTCAATTTCCTGTATTCTGGATTCCACATCTATTTTGGTTTATTCTCTTGTTTTGGAGGAGATACACTCCAGTAGCTTTCTTGAAAAAAGGTGGATTGGAGGTAATTTTTTTCCTGAAATCTTACACAGTTAAGTGTATTTTTAATTTATACCATAATGATGAATAATAGTGTCATTGGCTATAGAATTCTACATTCAAAGTCATTTGCCTTACAATTTTGAAGGCTTTTCACTTTTTAGATGTCAGTGTTGCTGTTGAGAAGTTTAATGCCAGTCTGTTTATCTCTGAATCTTATATCCTTGGTATTATGAATTTCACTTTGATGTGCCTTGTTGAAGGTCTTTTAATTTATTAGACTGGACACTTGGTGAACCTTTTAAATCTGGCAACTTATGGCCTTTAGTTCTGGGAAATTTTTTGGTATTATTTCTCGGTTATTCCTCCTTGGTCTCTCACCATCATTTTCTTTATCTCAGTTTCTGTAATATGTCTCCCTGGATTGATCCACTAATTTTCTCATCTTTCCTATTTTCTACTTTTTTGTCTTTTCACTCTTTTTTGTAGAGTTCCTCAACATTGTCTTTCTAAACTTATGTTGAATTTTTATTTCTTCTGTCATTTTAAATTTCTTATTCTCTGAATATTTACCCCCAGCATCCTATTCTTGTTCCATATTTCTTTTCTCTCTGAGTTGGTTAGTTAGTTAGTTTTCTAATTTTTGTTGTTTTCTCTGGTTCCCTTTATTGTCTATTTTTCTGAGTTTCTTTTTAGTTTTAATTTTTGTTTTTCGTGTTAGAGGCTTGCTTCAGTTGTATCTTAAATATTGTCCATTCATGTATAATAGCGAGGCACTAAAACGTTGACTGGAAGCATTGTGTATGTGGACTGAGTTAGTCAACTGCTTGGCTTCGCTGTACACCAAGGTTTCTCAACCTTGGCACTGCTGATATTTTGGACCTGATAATTCTTTGTTGTGGGGGCTGTTCTGTGCATCATAGGATATTTAGCTGCATCTCTACCCACTAGCTACCATTACACTCTCCCTTCCCTGGTCATGAAAATAAAATCTCTTGGCATTGCCAAATGTCTCCTGAGGGGAAGCTTACTCTTGTTTTAGAACTACTGCTGTAGACCCATTGTCTTGAACTGGGCTATTTCACTGGAGGCTCTGTAATGCCAATATCTATAGGACTCTTCTGCAGTCCAGCCTCTAGAATGGAAACTTTTAATTCCTTCTACTTGAGATATTAAGCCTGGCTGCTGGGTTTCTGGGAGCCTAGCAGAATATGGGGGCTGGTGGTTTTCATTTACATTAGTTGATGGCTCCTCATCCTTGCTCTTGGCCTGTATTTGTGTTCAGTTTGTCTGGAGATTAAACCTATTTTCTGAGACAGTGTAGAGAGGGATAGTGATTAACACTGTATGGGATGGAAGGAAGAATCCTACAGGAGGGTCTGTTTCTTTTATATGCTTTCAGCTGTTCCTCCTGTTTTTAGTTCTGCATAACCATGCCTATATTCCAAGGTACCTGGTACTTTGAGTTCCTGTCGGGGGGTGTGTGTGGGTGTGTGTATGTATTCTATAGTGAGAATAGGTTGCTTGTTGTTGGAATCCCCATTTGTAGGTAGTTAGACTTCGGCTTTCTTTGATCTGCTAAGTTAATTACTATTCGTCCATTTGTTTGCCATCTTTCCAAAACTTTCTGACTTATCTAGTATGCTGTTATTTTCTTTCTTTTTGTTCTTCCTGGGGTGTATAGTCTTATATTTTACTGACATTGCACTATGTTTTAGAGTAGCAATGAAGATAAACAGGTGTGTTAAACCCAGAAGTAATATTAAACAATCTAATTCCAAAAACTAATTTATATTTTTACATGTTTTCTTCCTTTTTGCAAGAGAAACTCAAATGAGGATCATAGGAATAAAAATAGAAAAGATTTTTTTTTTTAAGGTTTTCAGTTGGGCCCTATCCTATCCTTAATCATCAGATATATATTTTTAAGATTTTCTATTAGCTTACTTTATCTTAGTATGAGTCAAATGATTGCAGGACTAGAGGGGACAAAGTATATATGAATGACTATCAGAGTAGCTGAGCCAATATTTGCTACTGTTAATAGCAAAAGGGCTTCTTAGTTTTTTAGCATTTTATACCAAAAGGGCTTCTTAGTTTTTTAACATTTTATACTTCTTATGCTCTTTGAGAAAGTTATAGCTCTGGTACTTATTTTTTGTGTTAGAGGTAAAAATATTCTAGTTTTTAAAATCAACTATCCAATTCACAAGCCACATATATGTCTATTTAGATTAAAATTAATTATAATGAAATAAAATTAAAATTCAGTTCCTCAGTTGTACTAACCACATTTCAAGTGCTCAGTAGCCACATGTGAACACTGACTAGCTATGATATAGTGCCGCTCTAAAGCCTTCCCAGGTTAACATAATTTATATTGCATTGATAATTTCATATGTGTTGTGTAGTACCTGAGAGGCTTAGCAAGCTTACCAAAAAGGTGAATATGTTCAGCCATCACAGTTGTCACGTGCCAGCTCAGTTCCTATTTAAAGCTTCAAGTTGTGGGAAGAACTTTCCTCATATGGATTAAAATTGTGATAACTAATGTTTTTTGTTTGACTTCTCTGACTTTACTTTTAATTGTTTCTTTCCCCCCAGACAGTGCAATGCTTGCTAGACAGTGGTGCTGATATTAACAGGCCAAATGTATCAGGAGCCACTCCATTGTACTTTGCTTGCAGGTATGGTATTGTATATTTCCAGATGCTCCCATTAAAGAATGTCGTATATACACTGTATTTCCAGACACAAACACTTCTGTGTAATTTCTAAAGCTCTTGTTTTCCCACAAATACTGTGCTCTCTTTTAAGATGAAATACAGCATTATGGTTCTGTTACTTAACTTCATGAAGAAAAGTATTTTCTGTTATATTTAATTGTCAGTGTGTTTATGCTATAGGTGAGAACTTTTGATTTACTTTGTTATTTCAATTTTAGACTAATTACTTATTAACAAAAGACAAATCAATAATCCACTAATTCCCATAGTTCACTTTACTGAGTAACTAGGGTAGTTCCAGTGGGATAAGCTGTTGAAGTATGTCTTTGGTCCAGAGCCATGTCTTTGCTTTCTCTGTGTCTATAACGTAAAACAAGATCTTGAATCAGTCTTTTTAGATATTAAATTATACATGAAGTTATTTTTGTACTTCTGTCTTGGTTCATTTTCTTGAAGTGTACATTTTGTTCACTTATTCATATAATTTGCGAACATTAAGTTAGCACTCACTGTGTGCCATGCATTGTTACAGGCATTAGTGATACAGTAATAAAGAAACCCCAGTCCCTAAGGAGGTCACAATGTAATAATTATACACATGCAGTCACGCTCACACCCTTACATATATACACATACGTGTTATATGTTATGTAAATGTAGTTTGCATTTCACAAAACGCTATAGTGATTCTTCTCTTTTGATTTAAATTATATGAATTATATTTATTTAGGCTCTTATGTACAGATATAGAGCTCTCTAGAAAGCTCCTTTTTTTCTTCTTTTTTCTGGCTTTATATCATTTTTTTTGGAAGTTTGTTTTATACTGAAAGACCTGCTTTTCTTCTTGTTTAGCTTCTTGTTGGAGTCTCTGATGTTACTTTGATCAGACCAATTCATGTAATCTGTTGAACAACCTTGTATTAGAATACAAGTAGTTTTGACTTCTAGATCTTATCTGAATCCAGCCATTTTCTGACATTATCCTTAGGATTTGGTTCCTTGGCTAGAAAACCAATTCCTTCCATAGTGTCCTGAATTTATGAATACTATCATCGTTTGATTCCCTGAAATCATATCCTATCTTGAGGGGTTATCTTTAAATCAGACCTTTCTTTGAAGCTCCAGAATTGAATGTCTATCTGTCTGATTGACATCATCACTTAGAAGTATCATAGAGTCCTCAGATATTAACATGTCTAAAATACAGCTTCAAATTTTCTTCATCAAACCTTTCTCATTTAAATCGATGGAACCCTTATCCTCCGAATTGTTTAAACTAGAAGCCAGATCATTATTTTTTATTTCTCTATCTCTGAACTTGGAATTTATTAGTAAGTTATATAAATTCCACCTTCAGAAGATGTTCTGAATCTTTATTTCTCTCCAACTCCCTGAAACTACCTTGAAGTTTTTACCTTTCGCCTAGAGTACTGCAGTATTCCCTCAGCTGGTCTCCTTGATTCCTAGGCTGTTGCTTCCCTACAGTCTGTTCTTTTGTTAGCAGTCAAAGTGATCTTTTAAAAAAAAAAGAATCAGCTTTTGTCACTGCGCGTTTAAACCCCATATTTAAAACTTTTCAGTGTCTCTTTGTTGCATTTCAAATACAATCCAAATTCTGCCCTGGCCTGTGAGACCCGCATGGTCACTGTGCTTTAGCCACATTGATTATCTCTGAGTTCCCTAAATGTAACCAACTCTTTCCAGCAGGCTTTTCCACATGATGTTTGTTTTGCCTGAAATACTCTTCCTTAGGTTTTTTACATAGCTGACTCCTTTTTATTCTTCATGTTACTGCTTTTTAGGAAGGCAATTCCTGACCAGTCAAAGTAGACTTGTCCCCAAATTTTCTATCAGAGCATCACAGTCATTTCCTTCATAGCACTTTATATTTTGTAATTGTTTATTTACTTGATTATAGTCTGTTTCCCTGCTAATGACTAAAAGCTCAGTGAAAGCGAAAGTTGTTTATTTTTTTATTGTCCAATGTGTAGTACAGTGTTTTGTACTTAGATGTCTAGTAAATGTTTTTGAATGAATGAGTTACCATGAAAAATATCTTATACGAAACAAATGCCATTTATACTAATTTAAAAAATATAGGTTTGTTAGTATTGTACAGAACTGGGATATTCCTATAGTTAGTCTGAGCATAGGGATATGGTAAAAGGATATTTTAGAAGTACTTTCTGCTAGTACTATATTACTATCATTTAGTTTTCATCTAGCAAACATTACATCTCTGAACAAAGATGGTTAAGCAAGTCTGTGATGAGATGTAAAGCCAGAAAGTTAGTTCATCATTGTAGAAAGATGATAGATATAGAATGTGGTTCATCTGCCGGCAGATTTTTAATTGTACTTGTGATATCTAGATATAGGTATAAATTAAAAATATAAGTTATTCCAAATATGTTGTCTCTGATAAAAGGGAAAGGAAAACGGGAAATAGAACAAGTTAACCCCTATAGATAAATTATAGGGTTCTAAGATAAAAGGCTAAACTGAATATGTCTTTATTGATGGAGAAATATTGTTAGATATATCATCATACTTTATTTGAATTTTGCAGTTAAATTTAGATGGTATTGAGATATAGGGGAAACAGCCTAGGTTTTAGAGGCAGGGTTCAAGTCCCAACATCAAAGCTGTGGAAATTTAATCAAGTTTCTTGACCTCTGAAGCTTTCTTTCTTTCTTTGTGAAATGGCAATGCTGATATCTCCCTAGTGAGAATTAAATGAGATGGCTTATGTAAAGCAGCCTGCAGAGTATGTGGCACTTAGTAGTTGGTAAGTGCTCACTAAGCTCTAGCACACTTGCGTTCTCCCCAGTGAGCATAAAGTTGTATTGTCCTCATTTCTTTATTCTACAGGGTTTTCTTTTTAGAAATATGGTTCTCGTATTATGCAGATTTTTTCTTTGTATTGCTTCTTTTCTAATTTTGAGCACTGTTTAATAATGTAGTGCTTTTGTGAGCAGGTCATTTTCAGACTGATTTTGACCTAAAATTATGACAGAAAGTATTTTCCAGCCATTTTTCTTCTCTTGGTACTTTGGACATGATATTATAATTCATGTAACTCATGAACTCATGCTTTTTGTCATGTAAAAAAAGGCACACATTGATTTTTTTTTCCCCTGCCATCTTTATGCACCTTTGTTTTCAGGTCTTTCATATGGCTGCTACAAATACTTCAAATCCGTAAATTATTAGATTGGTTTTATATTCAGTCATAATGCTCCCCGTTTTCTAAACTGGGTTCTTCAAATAAAGGTTTGGATGTATAATGATTTTCAGGTATTTTCTGTAGTATCTGTAGATAACTTTTATTCTATTAGGAAAACCAAGGGTTTAGCTGGGGTTGTGCAAGTTAACTAGTGAGATGTTTATGGAGTTTTTAGAGATTTCTAATAGAGTCAGAAAGGGCTAAGATTCAGAACATGAATTTGTAGCTACTGCCGAGCAACTCCTTTCAGTTAGAGAACTCCACATCAAGGTGCTGTGTAAACAGTCCTTAAACTCAAAATTGCCAACTTTTAGAGTAGGAAAAGACTTTTAGAAAATATGGTCTGTTTCATAAGCAATTTCAAAAAATATTACAACTGTATGTATTATATATATATAAAATACTTTGCCCAAGTTCTCAAATTCATAAGGCTGAAAGAGCCCAAAGTTAGGAGGCTGAAAGTGTTTGAGAAATTATTTCTAAGTGCTTTAGAAGCCACTACAAGTTTCTTGTTAGTTAAGTCTTTGCCAATGTCTTAGTTTCCATAAAATACACTGTCATTTTCTTGAAGAGAGTATTACCACAATCAATATAAAAATAGCTTCAATTATAAAGAATGATTATTGAGTAAATTTTTACAGTTATTTGAACTGAAAAATCTTTTATGCAGCACTCTAAGTCTGAAATAGGATAGTTTTAATCTGTTGCAGTGTTATAGATGAGGTACTTAAGGCCCTAATTGCATTATGCATACTTTGTATGTTATTAGCTATCATTTCTTGCTTTTAATCGATTTTTGAAATGAAATGTCATCTGATCATAAGTGAGGTTTCCATGTAGTTTTAGAGATTACTCCAGCTTTCTAAAAATGTTGTATTGGTATTCTTTTTATTCATTTTTTACTATAGTAATTATTATCATTTTTTTACTATAGTACAAAATTATTTTGAGGCTTTTTTACATCCCATATATGGAACAGTGTCCCACTTGTACATGGTGATCTTGTCTACGCATTTGTGTGATCCCCATTGTATTGTTCTCATAGCACGTATCCTCATGTGTACTCTTTTGAATACTAAATTATTTACTCTTAGAGGGCATAAAGCACAGAGGGCAAACTCCATGTTTATATATCTTGGTGGAAAAGCATGATAAAGATGAAGGATTCTAGAGTCAGACTGATCTGGGTACAAATTCTGCTCTGCCATGTAACTGATAGTCTTGAGCTGCTCCATTATACTCTTAAGCTATGGTTTTCTCAACTGAAAAATTGGGTGAATACCATTAAAAGAAAAATCTTTAGACAAATTCAATTTAACAGTTTATTTACACAAAGAATGATTCATGAATTAGACAGCACTCAGAATGAGAAGAGGTTCAGAGAGCTCTGCCCAGCAATGTGTGAGCAGCGAGCTTTTATAGGCCAAATATGGAAGCAAAGTAGAGAAATCACCTGACTGGCTGTACAGCTATGTATGTGTTTGCATTATTTGCAAATGATGTGATGGGGCATTTGCCTTATTTGGTCATCATATGATGAGTTGGCTGTCTCTGATTGGCTGAAACTGGATATTTGTTGCAGAAAATATACTCCTAATTAGGTTTCCATTTGTTTACTTACTAAGTTAGGTTGCAGTTTGTTACAGAGGAACTCAAAAGTACAAAGACATCCTCAGGCTAATGACCCTGCTTACTTAATTTAAGAATACTCATTTTATAAACGTCAGGATTAAGTCAGATTTTGGACAAAGAACTGAGCATGATGCTTGTCATGTGGTAGATCCTAAATAAATTGTGCTTCAGGTCTCCTCTTGTTTTCTATAATGCATTGTTTTTATTTGTCAAATGAATGTTATCTAAAGTTAAAGCCTATAATGTAGTTCATTGACTGTATTGAGTACATGTTATAAACCAACTACCATGCTTGGTGCTATGGAACAAATCTGTCAAGAAGTTTATAATTCAATTGGAAAGATTGGGCACATGGATATTAAATAACTGTAAAAGAGATATCATTAAAATTGAATGGAATAGCTTTATTAAATGGATTTCTTAGAACCCTGGCTACTAGCAGAGATATCATTCTCTCCCTAAATAAATTAAGCTCAAATTAGGTACTTTTCACTTGGCGTTTACTTTTAGGCATGAGAAAGAATAGAACAGTATAAATTATAAAGTAATCACCATTAGCTATAATGTACAATATCTTGACCAACACTCCCAGCTTAATCACAAATAATACTTGATGATAATCACAAATAATACTTCACACTAGTAAAGCATTACTGTAGCTTTCAGAGGGATTGCTGATTTACTTGATTTTTTGATTTCCTGCTTTTTTTTTTTCCTGGAGTAAATTAGATATTGTTCTTAAGTTAGTTCTGGCCTATTGCTATTTGTATTAAGGAAGGTAATCATTATAACAAAGTATCAGGATTGCTTTTCGGCCTTTTAGCTAAGATCAAGTGTCATGTATCAGGAGAGTGATATACCTGCAATAACTGACGTAGGATATTCTGGCACTAGATTCATATTAAGACTCCATTTTATTTTTTAACTGTTTAATTCCAATTGGCTATAAATTATTCTTCATACAGTGCCATTTTGTGAAAGAGAGTGAATAGTGTTTTGTTTGTTTTTATAAGTTCTTGAGAAATCTGTGTAGTCTTTCTCTTTGTGAAATGACATTCCTTCTTGGATATTGTTATTGTGGGAAGAGTATTGGTCTAGAAGCCCAGAGGTCTGAGTTCTGTTTCCACCAGTGTTTTGATTACTTGCTTTTCTCATCTACAAAATAAAGTTTTTGGTTAGATGCTCTTCCAGATTGTATGCCTCCTTGGACATTTCTTGAAATGAGCCTTAAACTTTAATGTCCCTCCCTGGATTGTAAATTTATTTTTTATTCCCTTTATCTAGGATCAAATGAGCTCATTAAATAATGAGACCTAGATTGTAGTGGTTACTACCCCCAAAGTAGCTTGGTCCTAGCTGAAAGAGCGGTTACTAATTTCACTTCTATAGAGAATGAAGCACATGGATAGGAGAGTTGTTTGTTCTAGGCCAGACTGAATAGTTGTCAGCAGAAGCCAAACTGAGTGGGTTGATAAAATGAAGGTTGAAAGCCAGATAGTATTTTTTGTCAATAACCTTGTCTCGTGTTCCTCCCAACAATTCTCTTACTTTGACACTTTTCTTTTCTCCTTCCTTCCTTCCTTCCTTCTTTTTTTTTTTTTTTTTTTAAGAAAGTATTACAGTGCCGTAAAATGTATTCTTGTTTTGAGTATTGAGGTTCTTTTACATTAAGAAGTCTAGAGACTTGGATATGTATGGTAGGAAGGTCAGGCTAGAGTTGAGAAAGAGATTAGGAAGTGAGTGAAAGGAAAAAATAAAGCAGAAGCCTGAGTAGTTGTTACTTATCCCAAAATATTGTGACTTATTGTAGGTAATGTGACCCAAGTTCAGTTCCAAGATTTAATAGGTCACTTTCTTATCCACATACTGAAAGTATGACTGAACACTGAGAAAAGTTTTCCTGATTGCTGAGGATGTAGTTCAGATCTTCCTTTCTTAATTTTTTAAATTGTTAATCTTCTACTGATTCATACTAACCATCCATAATTCATAGAGAAAGACTTTAAATTAGAAAGATTATATTTTTAATTTGTTTCTATTTCTATGCAGTCATGGTCAGAGAGATACAGCACAGATTCTTCTATTACGAGGAGCCAAATATTTGCCAGATAAAAATGGAGTAACCCCTCTGGATTTATGTGTACAGGTATTTTTTAAATACATATTCTGAGCCCTTTATAATGGAAACTGAGAATGGTAAAATCATTTTTTTTCAATGAAAGGGTGGATGCAAAAATTTTTATTCTGCGAATAATATGACCTTTAAAGGGACTTTATTTTTAAACCTGAATAATTTTAAGTGTTGTTTTTAGGGTGGATATGGAGAGACTTGTGAAGTATTAATTCAATATCACCCCAGGCTTTTCCAGACTATTATTCAAATGACACAGAATGAAGACCTCCGAGAAAACATGGTAATGTAATTTTGCAAGTGGCTTATAAATGAACAAACTTAATTCATGTCTAGCATATACGACATTTTACAAATGTGCTTAGTAAGTCCATTTATTATTACACATATTTTAATAATTTAAATTTGCTTGTCTGCATTATAGGGTAAGTATGAGTTATATAATAATAAACTTTGTGCTAATATTTGGCCCTATGAATCTTCTGTGCTCTGGGTCTTTGATCACTTCTTTTTTTTTTTCCGAGACAGACTCTCACTGTTGCCTGGGCTAGAGTGCTATGGTGTCAGCCTAGCTCACAGCAACCTCAAACTCCTGGGCTCAAGCAATCCTTCTGCCTCAGCCTACCTAGTAGCTGGGACTACAGGCATGCGCCACCATGCCCGACTAATTTTTTCTATATATTTTTAGTTGTCCAACTGATTTCTTTCTATTTTTAGTAGAGACAGGGTCTTACTCTTGCTCAGGCTGGTCTCGAACTCCCAGCTCAAATGATCGTCCCGCCTCGGCCTCCCAGAATGCTAGGATTACAGGCGTGAGCCACTGCGCCATACCCTGATTGCTCCTTAATATAACTAGAGTATTCCCCATGGGAAGAGAAAAAGAATCTTGGAATCAATATCTTGTTATGATTGGTAATCACTAGTTTACTGAGCTTTGTATTTATAATAGCTCTATGGTTAGAAAAATTGCAGAGTTTAAAATTCTCAATTTTAGAAGTTTGGAATTAAATTTCCATAAATATACTGGGTGATTTTTTTTTTTATCCTATCTACATTTTTTGTTTTTTACTGGGTGATTTTGAGTAAAGATTTTAATTCATGTTTTCTCTATATTAGCTTTTAAATTTATGCAAGGCAAAATAACTCTAAAGGACTTCATTTCAGCTAATTGGCTTCAAGATACTTATTAAACTAATAGGTACTTCATTTCTGGATAAAATTTAATGGATTATTATGTAATTGCATTTTTTTATTTGTAAAAAATTTAGTTACGGCAAGTTCTAGAACATTTATCTCAGCAAAGTGAAAGCCAGTACCTGAAGATTCTAACAAGCCTGGCTGAAGTTGCTACAACAAATGGTCATAAACTGCTTAGGTAAGTGTTTCAAAATAAAAGCAAATCAATAGGTAGCAGTATCTGTCAGCTTCATCTCCTAAATAGTTTATTCTGTGGGATGCCCTTTGTCAGTGGTAAGATGTTATAAAAATTTGCTGACTTATCGTGGTTTGTTTTGTTTAAAAGGACCAGAGTAATAAACTCTTATTAAAGAGACTTTAGTCTCTCTAAAGAGACTAAAAATAGAGCATACTTCAAATGAATTTCAGCATATGTGCCTAGAATTTTCTGAAATTTTATGAAAAGCTAATGTAATTACTTAGACAGTCACGTTAAGGAAATGGACATGAAGAAGAATCAAGAAAGTTCAGGAATCTTGATCACTTATTTATAAAACTAAGTACAAGTTACTGTTTAACCTTTCAGTATACCCTCATGACTCATTAAATTTTCTCTCTGAACTGTCCCCCTCAGTTCAGTTCTTTATTCTTTCCAAAAGATTCTCTGATTTTAATGGCTCATCGCTAAGTCCATGGAGTTCATGCTTTTATATTATTAATACTTGAATTTATACATATGGCATTTTCCTGCAGCTATACTTCTTTCTATGTGGTTAGCCACTCCAAGTAGAAATAAGCAGCCTTTGAGAAATGGTTAATGTATTGTTATTTTTTAGCTTACAAATTTGACCACCCTCTAATTTGGATGATTTCCCCTCTGTATTATTCTTTTTACTAATCACTTCTACTCTTAATACATTGATAGGTCATGATCTTCCCCCACCTCTGGTTGCGACTGAACTTTTCCTTCCAACACCATGCCACTTCTGTAAATCAGCTGCATTATCATTGTGTTAGCCTATGTTTAAGTCTTCTTTGGGACTTTTCATATACTTCAGAATGACATTCTGTACTATTTACTTAAAAGACCCTTTACTAGGTTCCTTATACTTCATGGTACCAAGATCACCTTCTTGTGTTCTTTTAACCGTTTAGTTTTTCTTTAGCAATTACACTCAATGTACCATTTGCCCATTTTAAAAATTCTATTTATGCCTTTGAGACTACTTTTAGACTCTATCTTCTAAGATTCATTGAATTCCAGCTTTCTATAATGCTTTGCTTTTATTTAGTCACTCCCGGTAATCCTTTTATTTGATGAAGCCTTTCTGAGATTCAGACATGCTAATTAAAAGCATGGGCTCTGGAGTCAGCCAGACTCAGACTTAAATCCAGACATCACCATTTACTGTGTGATCTTAGGAACTAACTTTTTGGAGTTTCCCTTCATCCTCCACCCATTCATCTAATATGTATTTTTGAGTGCCTGCTAGCAGTCCACTAAGCCATCTGTGCCTGCTGTCCACTAAGCCATGAATAAAACAGTCAAGGTCTCTCCCTGTGTTGAATTTACAGTCTAGTCAGGATTTTATTGGATTTTCATTCCATTTTTGTTTGAAAATGGTATTAAATATCTTAATGAATTGTGAGAATGAAATAAGGTGCCTTAAAATGCCAAGCAAAGTGTCTGGCACTTGGTAGAGATGATGATTATGTCAGTGGAAAATGGTGGAGATGATTATTTTAAATAACCTTATAATACCAATTAACCTGTTTTCTTATATTAGAAAACTTGTTTTTTCTTCTTAAATCTTTGTTCTGTTGTCTTCACTTTCATAGTAATCAGAAAGCATTTATGTTTTTACATATCTATTTTTTTTTTAAGTTTACCTTTATCACTTATTAAGCAGGTACTAAGCTATGGAACATTCAAATACATTATTTCATTTAAAACTTAACTTTGTGATTTAGATATTATCCGTATTTTACACTGAAAAAATTTGAAGCTAAATGATTTGCCAAGTTAGTAAATAAATCAGGATTCACATCCTCACTAATAAAGAGCAGATTCTGGGTTCCAATCTAGCTTCCCTATGTGACAACATGATTAGTGGAACAAGAGAAACAGGATAGGAGAAAGGAATCTATGGCCAAAAAGTTTTAAAACTACTCTGCTAAACTGTACTGTTTCACCACTTATGATGCTACCTTTTAAATGCTTTATAGAATCTGTTGTTATTGCCATTTTTGGCCTGTAAATATATCTTTTTTGGGTGGTGAGTATTGGTTATTAGTATTGTGTTAGAATTTATTTTACTGTTACCAATGTAAATTCTTAAGAGGATCTCAAATACAAATTATTTCCCCCAGTTGATTTATAAACATAAAAATAATGGTATTTTTGCAGATTGTCTCCCTTTTGTTTACTTGTGAATCATTTTATGTTTCTTAACCTACAATGTGGGGTAATTTTGGCCAACTATTTTAATAGAAATTTTCATTAAGAAAATAACTGATTCAAATATATATTAACTAGTGATGCTGAGATGTTATCCAGCATACTTTCGGAAAAATGGGCAACCTATTTTCTAACTGATTCTAAAGACAATAAACATTTTCTGAGAGTCCTTTTGCATATAATATTGTGTTTGTATTGAAATGAGCGTTATTTTCCTTTCTATGTATTTATGATTGAAGGTAAAGATAGTTATCAATGTGCAAATGAACAGAGAAATTACAGCTATCTGCTAAGTAAAACACTGAATAAGAGTATACTTTTACATAAACCAAAGATAAGTACATTGATAGGGCTTAGAGTTAGGAAACTCGATTTTTAAACTTTTATATTGAGATATGGGAGCTTTGGAGGAAATGATCATTTCACTATCACCCAGAGAAGGGTATGATGAAGTTTAAATTTTATGATCTTTTGTATAATACAAAAGAGATGTTTCACTGGTTGGAAAGTGAGAAAATGACATTTTTTAGATCAGTTGATTCAGCTTGGGAGAAGATTCAACTGGATAAAGTAATATAAAATTATTAGACACCTATTAATTGACGATGATATTTAGATTCCATTGTTTAAGAAAATGCTTTGTATCTTAAAGCAAGATAACTCATGAAATATTCCCTAGATCAGATATTTAAAACAAATATTTTTATATGTGGTAATTTTGTACAGGGAAATCAAATTCACTCTTTTCTCATGAAATTTGAGAGTCATTGTAGTTAACTTTTCCAAAAGGT